CAGTCCCCTTACATAGGCACAAATATCAGAGTGTCAATCAGTGCACTCAGACTGTAGTAGACCCCTGGTCAAATTTAGAACTTTTCCACTAATTGCCCCACATCTCACCCAATCAACAATTTATTCCAAGTCAGCAATTTCACAGATCCCAAAACTGCCTCCGCAATTAACATTTGAGGCTCAGCCAGCTGCTTTAGGATGGCTGCTGCTTCTCACAGCAACTCCTTTAAGCTTCTTATGAGCACTGAGTTGATTAAACATGGAGAACTAGTTATCCCCACATTCTCTACTGCACTATCCAGCTGGTTTCCTCTCACTTGTCATGTTGTGGGGCCACCAAGAGGATTGAGCACAGAAAGACACAGATGATTCCAACAGAAGTAACTGCTTTATTAAAGCTAACCCAGAAGTAAAACTGATACTTGATGCTACTTCCAGAAACAGTGACACATCATTATCATTAATTCTTTAATTAATTATCAGCACCTCACTTACACCAGTGTAAATTTAACATAACTCCATGAGAGTAGAATCCATGGAGCATGGACTTAATCATTGGAAATATCACACCCTTCCATGGATGGACTTGTGCTTTTTGTGTATGGCCTTGTGCACTTCAGCTGAGACCCAAAATGGCATATTTCTGGTCTGCAAGCATTAACTATACCAAATGAGTAGAAGCCAACCCTTTTTTTTCTTATGACCAAACAATATGAGATATTAAAAGTTGAAATCCCTATTACACACATAGTATCTGCCCATAGATAGATGCTTATGAAAATTTCTGACTCACTCTGACCTTTCAGCCAGTCATGTGGGTCTGATCACACAGTAGGGAGGAACTCTGCCAATCATACACACACACAAATCTGATGACAGACATAAGAATCCAGGAGGCATGATTTCCTCAAGTGTACAATCAAATATTGCCTGCAGCCACGGTTACTGAGGGTTTATGAGAACGTGATGGAATATATTACCTGTCAGAGGCCTAGGAGCATTAAAAGTCTGAGTGGGTGAAAAAGCCATAGGGGAGCTCAAACTCCGCTTCGTGGAGATACTCAGCCTGGAACCCTCACGAGGAAGGAGAAAATCAGATGTTAGAGCTGCTGGGATTGAATTAACAGCCATGCTATCACACAAAGGACATGGAGAGCCAACAACAGGTATGTTTTTGGCAGGGAAGAAGGTTGGTTCTAATTTAAAAGACATTGTTTCTCTTCCAGAGAAAGAAGTGAAAGCTCTTTTCTGAAAGGAGTTATAGACTGAATAGAAAGACTGTTGGCCAAATCCTCAGCTGGTGTATATCACTGTAGCTCCATTAACTTCATTGATTACACCAACTAGGGAATTGGCTCTGTCTGTTTCCTCCTGGAGCAGGGAGAACCTACAGACCTTGTTTGGTTTTTCTTTTCTGGCCAGAAAGGGCTTTAGAGAGGGGGGTATAGAGTAGGAAACTGATTTGCTCTGCTAAAGTCTATTGCTCTAATCTTTGTGTACTTCTTTACACCTGTGGAAAAAAAGTTTAAAACACTATTATTTTGATTTTTGAACTAGCTGTAAATAACTACACAAGGTGCAGAGCAGTGAGGAATCAGGCCCTGTGTCTGGATTCTCCTCTGGAGCAAAAAGGAGCCATGTATCTGTTACTTGTGAAGGTCTTTGATTCCTTCTTGAAGTGAGAGGATCCAGGGAGCACAGTTAATTTCCATCTGGTGAAGGCTTTAGTGCCTTTCATGAGGGGGTAGAATAAAAAAACTGGGACTGTTCCAAACTGTTGAAAGCTTACCTGTACTCTGGGGTCTCTCTTAGGGAACATGATGGGTAAAGGCAGAGTGGGAACACTTGAAAGGAAAACTCAAACTGCTACTCTGTTCCTGGGCCCTAGATTTGAGCTCCAAGGTGTGGGTGGGCTGGAGAGCCCCTTTTCCTCTGGTATAGAAGAACCACAGGAAGATCCTGCTTGAGTATGTGGAAGAGGGACAAAGTCTTCCTTCAAAATAAGATAGAGTGCTTCTTGACAAAACCAAAGACCTTAATCTTTCTCGTCATCTGTCTGATCTCCCAGTCAGCTAGCCACTAAGTCACAAGGCACCCTGTGACAGTGAACTGGGGAATAGCAGCTGAGCCAGCTCTGTGGTTATTGAAACTCTAATTAATTACTCTAGAGTAGACCTCAGTAAAAAGAACTGTGCCTAGTTGATGGATGAGGATGGACTGAAAAGAACTAAGAGACACAGGAAGGACCTGAGAATAGGGTAGCAGGAGAGCATATGCTCCCGTGGTACATCTAGCCCAGTATTCTGTCTCTAATGATGGCTTCAGAGGGAATCCACAAAACAGGACAATTATTGAGTGATCCATCCCCCATTGTCCAGTCCAGGCTTCTGGCAGTTAGAGGTTTAAGGGCTCTAAGGAGTGTGACAATGCTGCCCAGCTGAGGTCACTCAGTTAGGGTGAACTGCAAACAGAACAGGGCAGACAAACCCCAAACGCTGGTGGATATTCCAGTACTTAGATTTACCAAGCCAGCACAAAACTACTTCTGTATTACCTCACTAGTTACTCAGAAGTCCAAATAATGCACCCAGTATCCAGGTACCCAGCCTCAGGCCTCCATCCAGACACACATGTCAGATATGATGATGATTACTGAAAATCTTATCTCATCGTATAAAAGAAAAAGTTCTTCCAACCCCAAAGGGTCAGCCACACACCCAGGTCCAATTATAACTTAGACCTTACCCAAAATACACGCTTATAGCCAATTCTTATTAACTAAGCTAAAATTTATTAAAAAAGAAAAGAGAGAGAGTGTTGGTTAAAAGATCAATACATGTACAGACTTGAATTCAATTCTTGAGGTTCAGACACATAGCAGAGATGAGCTTGTAGTTGCCAAAAGTCCTTTTAGAAATAGTCCATAGGTTATAGTCCAATGTCCTTATTCAGGGTGACTGGGGATCTCAATCCTTATGGCTTAGGGTTTCCCCTTCTTGAAACCCAAAGCAGATCTGAGATGAAGAAGGATCATGTCCCAAGGGTTTTATACATTTCTAGCAGCCTTTTGGCCTGAGAAAACAATAGCCTTAACTTTCCTTCTCCTAAACATCATGGCAATTATTACAGGGTAACTTATCCATTAAACAGTTCAGCTACAGGTTACCACAACCTGCAGAGAGACATATTGACAATAATACGATTTCACTCAAATGTCTTCCTAAATGTTAATACTCCTTTTTTGATCTTTGAATCAAAGCTATAGCAATAGACAAGACTTGTTTGCTTACATCACAAGACCTCAACAAACATCTACCCTTCTATGTCTAACAATGCAGACTTGCATTTCAAATCTCTAATCATTTACATATCTTCCTAACCCATCTTTAAAGTTTGGCCAAGGATCAGGTCAGTCTGTGAGTTAATTAACTCTTTCTGGCCCTGTCACCTTTCAATGAGATATTATATTACACTCATAATGTCACAGGAGACTATATACTGCCCTTGCAAGAGGATAGTAAAGCTAGTAGGGTTTGGGTTTTTTTGGTTAATCTTGTAATTTCTACATTCCTGTGCCATGATACTACTTCATGATACTGCCCTGGCTGGGATGATTTAATTGGGGATTGGACCTGCTTTGAGCAGGGGATTGGACTAGATGACCTCCTGAGGTCCCTTCCAACCCTGATATTCTATGATTCATATACCGTATCATCCTGTGCGTTTCCAGACTGCACAACTACAATGAATCATTTGGCCACTAGATGTCAATAACGCATCATAGAAGAGGTTTAGCTGAAATGAAAAGAGCAAGCACTATGCTGTAGGACCTTGGTTTAAGCATGAACTGACAAAAAGCCCAGATTCGGCATTATCTGCAGAGAAAAAGGGTCTAAATTAAAAGCAATATTCTAAACATTTTATAACGCTAAAGTGCACCTAGATGTTAGCTCTCAAATATATGTATGTCCGTATGTATTAAAGGTAGACGATCAGAGCTACAGTATTTTTAAAATTACATTCCTTGTAAAACATATTCCATCAGAGGACATAAAGGTTCTGTTCCCAACTCTGCTACTGACTCACTATGTGACTCTAGGCAAGTCACATAAACGTACATTTTCGTAGTGAGTGGAGCAGTGGTGGTGCCCTAGGAGTGCTATCTCCATACACAGTGGTAACACATGGGTCTGTGAGAGCACGGTATTAGCAGCAGTGGCTCCATATGTCGTGGCAGCATATGTGCTGATGGGAGCATGGTGGTGACGAGGCTCCCGGCTTGGTGGCGTCCTACATGGTGGCAGTATGTGCGTGTGTGCTGGCGGGAGCAGAGTGGTGGCGCACAGCCCTGTGCTCTGGCCCCACATGTCGTGGCAGTGGGTGTTGGTGGGAGTATGGCGGTACCACCACCCTGGACCCAACAGCCCCATACACGGTAGTGGTGGTGCGTTGGCTGGTGGGTGAATGGTGGTGGCAGGGCTCTGTGGTCTGCATCCATATATGGGGGTGCTATGTGTGCTGGCGAGGGGATAGGGCTGGCAGGCCCTGTGCTCAGGGGCGGTGCTGTGTGTGCAGGTGGGAACATGCTTGGTGTAACTGGGGCCAGGGCTCAGTGGCCCGATAGACAGGGGGAGCAAAGCAGGCTGCTGTAGTGTGGGGAGCACAGCCCCATGGCATACAGGACAGTCTGGCCTGCAGCTTTGCGCTAGGGAAGGAGACCCAGGCTGCCCGCCCTGCAGAAGGCCCTGCTCTGACAGTGGTGGCCCCGCCCCCTGCGTCCCTGAGCAGTGACTGCGGGCACCTAGCAACCACGGCAGGCCTGGGCTTCCACCACGAATCACAACGTCATTATGCGCATGCTTACTGCTGCCTTTGTGTTCCCCCCACGAACCGAGCTTTCTCGCCGCCCATTCGTGGGCATGCGCCGCACGCTTGCTGACGCGTGATCCTCAGGAGACGGCTCACAGAGCGTTCTCTCCTGAGGTCACTTCCGCTATGCTCCGCCAATTGTCATAGCAACGGCTCGCGCGTCCCGGAAGTGGCGGCGGCCGGGCAGTCTCCCCGCGGTTCCAGCGGCGGCCGGGGGAGTGATGCTGGGCCAGTGGAGCCAGCGCCTCCGGGAGGTGACGGGCCCCACCCCGCACTCAGTGGCGCTGGTGAGACGCTCGGGCTGAGGCGCAGGCGCAGGGCCGGGGGACGGGAGTGGGCGCAGGCGCAGAGGCACGGTGTGGGGCGCGGGGTAGGGGGCCATAGGTGCTGGAACTGGGGGTGCTGCTGCACTCTCGGGCACGAAGTGGTTTCCATCATGTCCAGGGTTTTCAGCTGGGTTCAATGGCTCTCGGCTGCCCCGCTGTACACATGGTTCCAGTGCCCCTGGTGGGCGCAGGCGCTGCGGTAGGGTGGGGAGGCAGCGGCGCTGGGTGCAGGCAGTGGTGAGCTGGAGCCGGTTCCCACCAGTTCGCTGGAACCGGTTGTTAAATTTAGAAGCCGTTTTACAACCGGTTCTAAAAGGGCTTCTAAAGTTAACAACCGGCCAAAAGTGGCGCCTTAGGCATCGACTCCGTGGGTGCTCCTTGGCTGGAGCACCTACGGGGGAAATTTGGTGGGTGCAGAGCACCCACCGGCAGCTCCCTGCCCGGCCCCAGCTCACCTCCACTCCGCCTCTGCTTCCTCCCCTGAACGCCCCGCTCGGCTTCTCCGCCCCCCGGCTTCCCGCAAATCAACTGTTCACGCAGGAAGCCTGGGAGGGCTGAGAAGCAAGCGGCAGCTTCGCGCTCAGGCCCAGGGAGGCGGAGCAGAGGTGAGCTGGGGGCCCAGGAGGGCCACCTGCGCTGCAGCAGGTAACCCGGGCGGGGGAGGGGGGGCGCAGGGGAACTGCTCCCTGCCCCAGCTTGCCTCTGCCTCCCTGGGCCTGAGCCTGAAGCTGCTGCTTGCTTCTCAGCCCGCCCAGGCTTCCCGCGCAAACAGCTGATTTGTGGGAAGCCTGTGGGGGGCGGAGAAGCAGAGCGGCACATTCAGGGGAGGAGGCGGAGCAGAGGTGAGCTGGGGCCAGGCACCGAGCGGGGTGGGGAGCTGCTGGTGGGTGCTCTGCACCCACCAAATTTCCCCCGTAGGTGCTCCAGCCCCGGAGCACCCACGGAGTTGGTGCCTAAGGCAACACTTTTGATGTGATCAGTGTGGGGAGCAGCTACTCTGCCCCTAGGAGCTAGAGGGACCTGCCGGATGCTTCCTGGGAGCTGCCCCAGGTAAGCAATGCCGGGACTCCTCACCTTGCCCCCTCCGGCAGGTCCCTCTGGCTCTTAGGGGCAGGGTGGGCACCCACTACGGTGGCCCATGAGACCCTCCTGCCCAGTTCTGGGGGTGGACAGGCGAGGGGAATGGATGGGGTAGGGGACCGGGGGGGGGTGTCAAGGAACGCGGGGGGTTGGATGGGGCAGGAGTCCTGGGGGGGCGGGAGTGGGCTATGACCCCCTCGTGGGGTGAGGAGGGTACCGGTTGTTAAGATTTTTGTCAGTTCATCACTGGGTGCAGGCACCGCACTATGGTGCGTGGCCAGTGTTTTCCTCAGGCATTGAAATGGAGGGAGGTGTTCAAATTTATGGGGGGGGCAGGGCCGATGAGGGGTGAGACCGTGAGGGTGAAGGTGGCTCTGTGGTACTACAGTAAAAACTGAAAAATGTTTCATGACCATTTAATTAGATTTAACTCATATTTTAAAATCATCACAAAAATTAAAGTTGGCTACTCAAGCCTTCTATGAAGCACTACATCTTGATCCTTCTTGGTTTCGTGTTATAATTTTGCACATCTCTGTTAATGAACTTCTTGAATGCAATGCGTTCATCTTTGGTGGCCACTCGTGTGTCCGGTATTTCCATTCCTTCAATTGATACGCTCATTAGATCATTCACATGATTAGGCAGAAGGCGACTTCTTTCAGAACACAAAATTCTATTCAATGAGTCAAAAGCACGCTCAAATGTAGCTGTTGTGACTGGGAGTAACAAGAGATGAATTCCTACTTCTTTCATCTCAGGAAACATAGCACAAAGATTGGGTCAAGCCACTAGCGATGATAAAAAAGAAAAGGAGTACTTGTGGCACCTTAGAGACGAATACATTTATTTGAGCATAAGCTTTCGTGAGCTACAGCTCACTTCATCGGATGCATTCAGTGGAAAATACAGTGCGGAGATTTATGTACACAGAGAACATGAAACAATGGGTGTTACCATACACACTGTAACGAGAGTGATCAGGTAAGGTGAGCTATCACCAGCAGGAGAGCGGGGGCGGAGAACCTTTTGTAGTGATAATCAAGGTGGGCCATTTCCAGCAGTTGACAAGAACGTCTGAGGAACGGTGGGGGGGGAATAAACATGGGGAAATAGTTTTACTTTGTGTAATGACCCATCCACTCCCAGTCTTTATTCAAGCCTACAGTGGGGTGGGAGGAGGTATTGTTTCATATTCTCTGTGTATATATAAAGTCTGCTGCAGTTTCCACGGTATGCATCTGATGAAGTGAGCTGTAGCTCACGAAAGCTCATGCTCAAATAAATTGGTTAGTCTCTAAGGTGCCACAAGTACTCCTTTTCTTTTTGCGAATACAGACTAACACGGCTGTTCCTCTGAAACCTGTATCCAGTTTGCAAATTAATTCCAATTCATCAGTCTCTCATTGGAGTCTGTTTCTGAAGTTTTTTTGTTGAAGAATTGCCACTTTTAGGTCTGTAATCGAGTGACCAAAGAGATTGAAGTGTTCTCCGACTGGTTTTTGAATGTTATAATTCTTGACGTCTGATTTGTGTCCATTTATTCTTTTACGTAGAGACTGTTTTGTTTGGCCAACGTACATGGCAGATGGGCATTGCTGGCACATATCACATTGGTAGATGTGCAGGAGAACAAGCCTCTGAAAGTTGAAATAAAATCTTCATTAATTTGTTGTATGATATTCCACTCTGTGTTCAAATTCTCTATTCTGTCCTGAGCACATGGCAGCCCCATTGCTGGTTGTGCCTCACTCCACTCAACTCTTGGTGTTTTATAGGACAGGGATCTGTAAAAGCTACATAGAGGTTGAGTAGAATCTATAAGTCGCTGTTGTAGATTTTTAAGAATCAAGTCTGTGTACTTTGTCTTAACAAACACTTCTTGTCCTTTTCACTTAAGGATTCAATATAAATGCCTTCATTACTCAACTTAAGGACTGAAGTCTTTGCTTTTTCCAGTAGTTTTTCAATGGATAGCTCTCTGATTGATCCAAATGTAGCTTCTATTGCTGGACAAAGATCTACTACTGTTGTAGCAGATGCCTGGATGGCATTGTTTAATGACCCAAGTGGTTTCAACAGTAGACTTACAAGGGAGAGAATGACAATAATCTTCTCTGAATGTAGTAACAAAAGTAATCCACCAGCCTCACGACTTAGATCCATCCCATCTTGGTAGATACTTTCCAAAGCCAGTAATAATGGCTGGCGTAATTTTAAGACAACAGCCAAGGATTGCTCATGAGAAAGCCAGAGGGTTTTCCCAGGTTGAACTAATTTGAACTTGAGTCCCAGTGTATCTTCTATATTTTCCAAGATATTCAGTCTTTTTGGACTCTTGCAGAAAAAAGAATATAATGAAGACATTAAATTTATAGCTTTTTAAATGTCTTTTGAAGAGTCTGCAGCTCGTACTAGCACTAGTTGGAGTAGATGACCTCTGCAGTGTGTATAGGAGAGATTAGGGTTACACTTTTCTCTGAGTAAAGCTTGTACTCCACCATGTCTTCTAGAGAATTTTGCAGCTCCATCAAATGTAGAAGCAGCCATCTGTTTGGGGTCCAACTGACAAGCATTTAACTCTTCTAAGATGTGGGTTGTCACAGATGCAGCCAATGTGTCTTCTATAACTTGAACATCTAGAAACGCATCTACTGGCCTACCACTGACATCAAGGAAACATACACAATGACTTAATACTTGATGCCCATTTGCATTGATGCATTCATCAGCCATGTGTGCAAATTTTTTTTTGTGGTGAGAGAGTTCTTCACTTTTTCAACTGTTGAGTCTTTCACTGTTGCACCACATGCGTCTAGCCAGTCAGTTAAGATAAATGAAGTGAGCTGTAGCTCACGAAAGCTCATGCTCAAATCAGTTGGTTAGTCTCTAAGGTGCCACAAGTACTCCTTTTCTTTTTGCGAAGACAGACTAACACGGCTGTTACTCTGAAATCAGTTAAGATAGTGAGTATATGCTGGTCTTGTTCAGAACCAGTGTTCAGCTTCAGGATGAACAAGTGACAATGCACTTAACATTGGCATCCAGTTTGTAGTGTGTGATATATCTTGCTTAAATAGAATGTATGATGCCACAGCCATGTTTGGTCACATGAACTGTGTTGTGTCTCCAGCATTCTTAACAGCCTCATTAACACTCACTGGTGTTGTCCTTGGTCAGTGGAGTCTCGGAGTTCAGAGGTGCGTTCACATGAGTTCACCTCCCAGGTGGGGGCAAGAAGGCACCTTGCTCATTCCTCCAGCTGCTCACCGTTAGCTCTGGCCTCTGTTGTTCGTTGTGCCACTGTTCACTCCATTGCAATGTTGCCAATGGTGCTGCGCCGTCACCTTCTGCTGCCACCTGCCACTCTGACCTCTGCTAGTTGGTCTGTTGAGGTTCCACCCAGCTCTCAGTGATTTCAGCTGAGCTCTCGGTGGGGGAACCTCGCTGCTCGTGCAGACTGGGCCGTCTCTTCCACAGAAACACTGTCCTACAGCAGTTCTAAGCACTTAGACCTGATTTCAGCTGTAGTGGTTACTTAAGAAAACAAAAGCCTATCTATGGAGCCTAATCAGCTCTGTCTTTAAAGAGTGGAGAGGGGCAGGTTAAATAGTACTTGTGACTCAGGCAGACCATCAAGCAAAACACCTGTCCCTACCCTCTCTCTTGATGCCCTCAATCAGCATAGGCTAAGTACAGTTCTACTGCCCTCTACTCAGACAACAAGAATAAGAACATTTCATTTCCTCCCCCTCGCCCCCCGCATTCAAGTGATTTGTAACCCAACCTCAGCCAATCTATCACTTGGCCAATGCAGCTCTGTTTGCTGGATACCTAGGTAGATTAGGTGTAAATGTAAGTCTTGAAGACTTTCCCCCTAGCTCATCACTAGCTGTCCAGGAGAGCTCATTTAGACTTTGCTTACAAATCATAATTTGAAATTATTAGGTTGGCCAACATCACGGAAATGAATGCACGGACATTGTCATGAAAAACAACAGCTGTATAAGGAAGCTAGTCTATGTTTTATACTTTTCAAATCTGTTATACTTTTTCAGATACACATATTTTATCATACACTGTATATGCTTTTAAAGTGTGTATTAACGTTTCTATTTCAATTCACATTTCCAAACAATCACTAAACAGGCAACACTGCATGTAACTAGTTTACAAAACTGGGGGGGGGGGGGAAGAGGTTGGAGAAATTCGGGGGGCGGGGAGGGAATCCCTGTGCGTGGTGGAGTGGTGAGACCCCAGGGCAGGACCGCAGAGCATGTGATGTTTCCGCTGCAGGGTGGAGGGCCCCAGAGCTGGGGACTTGGCCACGCAGCCGCCAGGTTGGTGTGGGGCAGGGACAACTCAGCCTCTCCCCTGCGTTACAGCGAAGGGCAGCGGGACTCTACTCCTAGGGCTGCCTGCAGAGGTTTGCAGTGTTTATGGTGCTGTGGGTCACTGGCCACAACCATGCTGTCAGATGAGAGCAACTTATTATCGTTATCATTATTCATTTGTATTACCGTAGCGACTAGGAGCCCTAGTCCTGGACCAGGACCCCAGCAAAGATCAATAAAGGAAGGTCCCTGCTCCAAGGAGCTTACAGTCTCAGTCAATGGCAAGAGACACAAATGGATGCGGACAGAAAAGTAGAGTAGATAAGCAGAGTACGAGTGAGGCCATGTTTATACATACAGCACTAGAGTGGGGCAGCAGAACCGATACAGCTGCACTGCTACAGCACATCTTGTGAAGGTGCGCTATACTGATGGGCAAGAGCTCTCCCATCAGCATAAAAAATCCACGTCTGAGCAGCAGAAGTTATGTCAGTGGGAGAAGCTGCAGCACCGTGCACACAAGCGCTTATGTTGGTGTAATTTATGTCGCTCACGGGGTGGTTTATTTACAACCCTGAGCGCCATAAGTTATGCCGGCATAGGCTGTAATGTAGACAGAGCCCAAGTAGTGAGTCAGTATTAGTCAGCACAGTAAACCATGGTCTCTGTGACCTAGAGGTGAATGGGTCCTAATCCCATTACCTATCCCTTGAGCTATCTAGTCCTTCCTAGAATGGTGGCTTGCATTTACTGAAAAGTGTAGTTTTTGAATTTTATATTTAACATTACTTTGAACTCCTATTAATACCTGCTTTATGATTGGTCGTTACCTGTTTGAGATGATAAACTAAAAGAGAGCCATTGGTCTTGTTTCCATTGTTAAAAACATGTTTTCTTTTACAGAGGGCCAAGTTTCCTAAACCTGATAAGTTTCAATGTTTCATCTTGGAATGCAGACGTAAAGAAAAAGAACGTCTTGAATACTTGGCTTTCACAAAGGTTCACAACAGAGGTCTGCAGGTCAGTCAGTGGGAGAATCACAATGAACGCAGAAGGCTTCACAGTATTGTACAGAAGAAGGTCGATCAGACAATGCAGGAGTACCTGGCAGGAACTGAGGATAGAAGAGACAGGTAACAAATCAAAAAGCTGGAGCCAACTGATAAATGGATTTCAGGTTCTTCTCATCCTCATTTCCATGCTTAAAAGCAAGCAAAATTGATTTAGAATAATATCGATGGGAACAAAAGAAACGTGCCCTAATAACTTAAAGTTTCAAGTATGTTCAGTATAGTGACTGCCAAAACAAAATCACTCAGTGGATTTCTGCTGTGTGTGTGTAATGAACTGGGGCCATGTAAATAGCAATGCTATTTTTATCGGTGACCCCAGGGCAGAAGCATAGACTGCTTGCACTAAAAGAGAACTAGTTTAGCTGTCAGTTAAATAGCAGGCTGTACAGTTACTGGGCCAAACATTAGAGACAGATGTGGCCACACACGCTAAATCAGTGTGTTAGGGTCATATCTGCTGAATTCACTGATGAAAATATGTTTTCAGCACTCCTCACTCCAGTTAGCTTTTTTGGTTCTTTAGGGCTAAGAGAGAGTGAACTGCATTCTGGCTCATGTATCAACACAGTTATTAAAACTTCCAACTGCAGGGCTGTCATGCTCTTGGGAGTGGTTCATGACCATGAGTGCCACCATCAGGGCAGACTGTCAAAAGCAGGGCAGAGACCCCAAAGTGGTGGTATATTATATAATTAAATTTCACCAACTCAGTAACAAATATTAACTCCTGGATCACTGTAACAGTCTTAGTTAGCATGGAGTCACAGACAGTCCTCTTGGGCACTCCAGTCTATCTTGCCACTTGGGCAAGCTGGACTTAGTGATAAATGGTCTCTTACACGGAGAATCACAAAATATTCAGGTTGCTCCCAGTCCCAAGAGACCAGTCACTTATCCCAGATCAGTTTGTACCTTGGATCTCACACCAGACATAAAGCTGGTAGCTAATCCTGTAATAAACTAATTAAGGATTTATTAACTAGGAAAAAGAAACAAGGTCGTTATTTACAGGTTAAAGCAGGCAGCATATATATGCAAATGAGTTCGGTCTAGGGTTCTAAAAGCACTGTCTTTTTAGGGATAACCCAGGTTGACCATGGGGTCTCTGTGTTTTGATTCTTAGCTCCATCCCTTGAAAGAGACCAAACAGAAAAGAGATGAAAAATCTTCAAGTCAGCTATCTGTTCCAGAATTCAAATTGATAGGATGTGCTTTCTGACATGTAGAACCTTCATGGGTGTAAGAAGGCCATTAAATGAGCCTTTGTGTTGGATGGTCCATTTAGTCTTGATAGTTCTTCTGGATGGATGGGGAAACCACTTTTCCTGGCTAGGTTCACAAGCTCAGAGCAGACATTTTTACAATTATAAAACAAAACTTACATATTACCTTATAGCATGGGATACAGACAAAAGAAGTAAGATTAATGCATGCAGCAACTGACAACCATTTTATAGAGTCTAAACACTAAACACATCCTTACAAGCTCATCATCTGTCTCAAACAGTATTAACATACAAGTGAGCTGGTCTGTTTTCCAGCTATGAATTTGAGCCATGGCAAGAGCTGACACCTGGTTTACTAGTGTCACAACAGTCAAATTGTGTTCTTAGTTATGCCAATACAAAGTCTTTAATTTAACTTTTAGATCCCAGGGCCCACTTGCAGGGCAAGCAGTTAGAAAAAAATATTGTTCCTAGTGAGTAAGTAAATTCAGTCCAGAAATTGTTGATAAACAATACACACGAGACTTCATGATGCCATTTTATGTTTTTATGGAGTAGAACTGAACTTGAATCATCCTAGAAAATAGTCAAATGCTTTAATTTCTTAGTCAGTGTACATCTTTTTCATTAAGCGAATTCAGTGTTGTGAGAAATGCTGGTTTGATAGCCCTGAAGATTAATCTTCTGTCCGTTCCGAGAGTAGGCACTGCACAGTGACTAGTAGTGCAAGTTTCCGTACGCTGTCTTTCAAGCATGACTTAACCCTGACTTGGAGGGGCCATGTGTAGTGAGAAGGAAGTTCAGTGTCCATCACCAGTGAGTCCTTAGAGCAAAAATTCTTGTTGTTAGATACTTTGCTTTACAAATATTAACTAATATTATATTTACCAGTCTCCTCAGAAGTCCTCCTGTGATGTAAGTAAGTGGTGTCATCCCCATTTTACAGGCAGAAAAAGTGACTTGCCCAAGGTCACAAAAGGTGTCATTGTGAGAACTAGGATTAAAATTTATGAGTTCCTGGCTCTCAGTCCCATGTTCTCTCAGTGCTTTTTGGGCCAAATACAGAGGTAAATGGTGATGCATATTACAAGTGGTTGATATAATTTATGTGTTCAGGGAGCAAAAAGGTATTGTACCAGGAAAAGCAAGTAACAGGTGATTGTTAGAATGTCTCAGATAAAGTGGACACTTCTCTTACTTCTTATACCCTATTGTTGCTTTTCTTAGTAAAACATCCCCTCAAAACATAAAATAGTCTCGTATGAAGCCGCTTATACTTTCACAGACCTACAAATGTATAACACTGCCTTTACAATTCGTTTGAAATTGGCCACCTCTCTTTCTCTCATATGCAGACATCGGAGCTCAATGTCCAAGTTCCGTTACCAGAGGATGCCCTCTATATCAAGAGAGGCTAGGCGTTGTAAACTGCCCTCTAGATGTTGGGTTGAGTATCCACCACTACATGAGTTATTGACTGCAATGCTTTCCCAGTCACAACATGGGGAAGAAACCAGGCTAAGCCAGAGCATAGTTGCAGCAACTCTGGACAATCCACAGAGTACCCTGTTGAGCTGATGCAGGATCTAAGATCAAGTAGATAAGGAGTCAGGTGCAGCCATGGACTCCTAAATTTATTTACCGTTTTAGACTCTCTTTCCCGCTGATGCTCTCTACTCTGTAAGAATGTAGTTTTCAGCTCTCTGGCAGAGCTGATCATTCGAGCATGGTAAAGGGCCAGTAGCACTCTTATCCAAGAATGCATGTGCTGTCATAGCAAAGGGGAGTAGTGATCAGCTGTGGTGTCACACAGGGGTGTGATTCCTTCCCAGAATACCAGCAGACCTTTGATTTGGTGCTGTGTTTTTCCTGTCTGAGAATGGAGCATCAGTCAACGGGAGATGTAATGGGTTGGTTTCATTTGTCACAGATGTCCAGGTAGGTAGACTTAACAGAAAGGGCAACTGGTCGAAGATCAGGCAGAGCTATGTGTGCTAGCACATACAGACTGAAAATTGGTCTATAATTCAAGCAGCTGCTAATAATGAGTGGCTGAATTCAGTTCAGTGTCAACAAGTTGAGTGTGACACCTGTGCCCCCAAACTGCAGAGCAGCATTCAGTTGGAACAAGCACAAAGGCCAATACAGATGAATGAAGGACTGAAGGGTCTCCTCTCCAGGAGGCTCCTGATAGTTTTCATATCAAAGTGGTATGGGAAGAAATCTTCATTTGCAGGTGTTCCAAGTGGGACTGGTATGTCAGGCTATGGTCGAGTTTTACTCCCAAATATGTGACAACTGGATGGAACGTCAGCAGTCGTCCATGGACACAGATTGAGATCGGTCAATTGGCAAGACGATTGTTTAGATGGAAAGTAGTTGCCACTGTCTTATTTTCACTAGGATTAGTCTCCATGGCTGGAGGTAAATTGTCAGCATATCCACGCTGACTGAGATTCCCTTTGATCCTGGGGAAATAATTTCCAGTGTCAGCAATACAGATGTTCTCACCATACATATACTTCTCGGCTTGTGTTTCAGGGAGGTTGGAGGTATATCTCTGGGACAAAATGAGAGCCAAAACTGACTCTTGTGGAAGGCCATTATGGAGACATTTAAGGTGACTGATTTTTCTGCCCAATTTACAGGAGGAAGTTTTAGCTGCGAACCATTTCTCAGATGAACTGCATCATTAGCCTACAAGAAAAAGGCTGGCTGCTAAGCTGCTGCAAGTTAATATGCCACACAGTGTCATAGGCTGCTGTCAGATCAATAGTGACTGCCCAAACTTTCTTTCCAGACTTTCATGCATTTTCTATATTTTGAGTCAGATAAAGTTCCTGATCTTGGATCTAGCCTAAAGGCGAGGCAGCTGAGGAGTGACTACCTCATTAATCCACATCAGGATTAATCTCTTCATCGGCTTGTAGTTAACGCACAGCAGAGAAATCTGTCAGTAGCTCTCTGGGTCTGTCAATGGTTTTCCTGGCTTGGGAACAGCTACGACGTCTGCTCTGCACCAGGGTTTTGGAATACTGCAATTCTCAGTACAATTCAGAATTTGAAGCAGCCAGTTTTTGCTGATTGACCAAAATTGAGAAACAAACTCATTGTGAATGGTATCTGGACTAGGAGCCTTATTAGGCTGCAGTTGATGTATAGCCAGGTTGAGCTCTTGATGAGTAAAAGGAGTCATCAGGTTCGTATCCACTCCCTGAACCTGCCATTTCTCAGGAACCATCATTTTAACTGTGTGACTGAAAGCTTTGTCTTGATTAGGAGCTCTGCAATTGGCTACCAGCTGGGATGTGGTGGAGTTTGCTGTGGCTGGGTATTCCTTCTTGACCAGCCTAGACTCTCCACTCAATCTCTTAATAGTTTGCTAGACTTTGCAACTGGAAAGTGTGAAGTTCAATTTGGAGTAGTTTCTTTCCATCGCTTTTGCCTTGTTTGAGCTAGAAGATAAAGAAGGTCTCTGCTTTTTGTCACAAACCTATTCATTCTTACTGGATTTAAATTCCCGATACAGTCTGGTTGCATCAGATGACTGTCCAGGAATTAATTGTTGACAAAATCCTGGGGGGAGTGGAGGGGTATATATTTCTTTGTGGTGGCCAGAATTTTATCACAGAAACTTGGGAGACTGCACTGATGTTGTTCCAATTATGGGCTGTGTGGGTAAAGACTCAGACAGCTTGAACTCAGAATGAAACGGATCCTATGCTGCTTTCTGGAAATTCCACTGAGGTTTCCAAAGGCCACTTGTTGTTGGAATTTGTGTGCCTGTTGTGATTAGGCTGATGCTGGGTTCGAGGAAGCATATCAAGCAGTTTATGCTCTGTGGCCACTGGAGAGTACTGACCAGCTGTTGTTTGTTTTTGTTTTTTAAAGTGAGGTGAGGAAAGAATTTGAGGTTCATTGTTTGCTATGGAAAGTGGGTGACAGCTTAGGATCATATAAAAGTTGCATATTGACCGTTGATTCCCCCTCTAGCCTCACACCATCCATATCATCATCTGTGTATCCCCAGTGGGAATGATGTGAATTAAAAGCACCACAATGGACAGAAGATCCTTAAAAGATGGGTAACATAGGAGTTGGCCAGTTGGCAGATGAAGGTTTGTAGACATAAATAAGAGTCAGGTCCTTCACTTTTATAGCCTACCATTCAGTGACATCATTTTGACGTGATGATTAGACTGGAGTTGCTAGATTACCTTCCCTGATGTAGAATGCTATCCCATATTGCCTATGATGGAGGTGAGACATAATGGCACAAGTTGAGAAACAGTGATAAAGGATGTTTCCTGAAGCAAGATGATGAGTGCTTTGTGTTCTACAGCCAACTGGAGGAGGACATCCCTCTTGGCCACTGAACTTCCTTCGATATTGAGGTACAGCACTTTGAGCCGACCCCAGCACTAGGGTTTGTGATGCCAGCTCTGAAAGTGACTCCCTTGGAGAACAAGTCGTTTGGGTTGTATTTGTTTTTCACTTTTTACAATGAGAACTTGAGCTCCAATTTTGTCTTTTGTCTACTTTAGCATTGATTTTTGTACTGATGGCTTCCACAAGAAGGCAGTAGACTTGTTCCCCACCTCTTTAAGATCCATTGATTCCAGAGTGTATTACAACACTTCTGAAGTATGTCATATTTTGGCCTAAATGTCATATTTAACCACGTGCGTTTAACATACTGTAATGTTTAAAATTAAATTACATTTCAAGCATCATTGTCTAGCAGATTTCCAAGGATTTGATCTCTGAACAATGCCCTTACTTTTTTTTTTTTTTTTTTTTAAATGGCAGCGTATTTTAACTGCTTCATCTTTTAGAGCAACAGACCCAGCAGAGATGCACAAGGGTCTGTCCATTCTCAGGTGATATCAGAATTTTGATGGCATAACTCCTTTCATACCAATGCTTGAGTGGACCCTAAATGACCATAGAGATTTATCTATTGTTTTGTCCGTATGCTAAACTGACATGCCATCAGATAAGAAAATGATTGAGGGAGCTAGTTGTCTCTCATGGTTTGTGTATAATAGATTATATACACACACACTTCTGAGCATAGATTCTGTTAGACAAGATTAACTAAAAACTTTAAATCGGATAATCTCATAGTAAATGTACTAAAGCTGCAGCATTCAACAGACAGGATTGTTTAGCTTTTGTTGAAATATTTTCTTTCTTTCAGGCTTCGGGCACTTCTGGAAGTGGAAGAAAAGAGCTATTTCACTGAGATGGAGTCAATGGAAGAAACCATGCTGGAAAGAGAAGCAAAAATGAGAGAGCGAGCAAAAGTGCTGAGAGAGAAGAGAGAGGAAGAGAGACAAAAATTGGTTGCTCTAAAGCGAGAGCAACAGTTCAGGTAACTCAGTGAAAAAATCTTCTCAGACTGAAAGTGGTAAGTAAATAATCTGACAGGAATGGAGACTGTAAATTAAGGAGGGAAAGATAAATATAACTGAATTGATGTGTATTTAAGTTTCAACACGGTTTATGACAGAGGTATCCAAACTTTGTCCAGTTGATGGCCATACTGACTACTTACCAAGAGCTGAAGGGCCTCACCTAACTTGAATACAATGGAGCAGATTGTAGTCCTTATTTTCAATAAGGAGGTGCAGCCTGTGAGGACAAGAGGTCCAAGCTTGCAATGCTGGTCCAGATCAAGATAACTCCTAGCAAGCAATACTCCCTATTGTGTGTAAACTACACATTTTATTCTAAACGAACATGGCAGCAGGCCACATTGAGCTGCACTTTGACCATCCCTTGATTCAAACATTCAGAAACAATGGAAGTTTCTTTCATTTATAAAGACTAAAAATCATTTCACATGTGACTGTCTTAGCTCTTTATCCTGCAAATTCAATCACTTTTGTGGTTCCTCAATAGGATGTAAAGTTATATTTTAGTTTGGTACATGCAGTGTGTAAATGCCCAGAAGTGAATGTGGCCTAAAAATAGGTTTGTGTAGCTGAATATATTCTTTCATGAGTTTCAATGAGAAAAAGTTGAAACTATCCAAAAAAAAATCAGGGTTTAAATTCATTGAACAACTCTTTAGAAGTGATATAACTGGCCATTTTGAGCTAAGGATCTAACTTTTTTCCTTCTCATACAGCGTGATCTAACATTCTGGGCCAAATCTTCGTGGGTGCTGAGCCCTGCACCTTCCTTTGAAGTCAGTGAGTGTTGTAGGTGCTCATCACCCCGAGGTGTTGGCACAATAAATCTAACTAGTTCAGTTCTTTGAAATCTTTAGTTTTCTGGGGAAGAGATGGAAATAACTCACATGTAGGTGAATTATAATTCTTTCTGAAGGGTCCCTCTCAAACCTCAATGTTCGGGAATCCTTAGCTCCTACTCTCTAACATATAGAAGCTGGAGAGGAAAATCAAGGAAGACTTGAGCGTACCCTCTCCTTAAAGTCCAAGTACCCAGTTCAGACAAACAAATGTCCTTTTACTCTCTCAGATATTGATCTTGTGTGCTGGGATAGGTGCTCATGCAACATATGCAGGTGCAAATTCAGATGCATACTCAAAAATGAGGCCCTTGCAATTTATACTATATCCCTCCATTCTGTCAGCTCCTAATTTAAGCTGTTAAAACTCACTTTGGTTTTAAAATTGTTCCAAGGTCACATTTCCTGACTGCCTTAGTAGTTTGCACATGCAACCATTTTCATACCCCGGTTAAGCAAACTGCATGGTGAACTGTTCAAATTGTGTGTCAGAAGTGGGTCACTGTTTTTGGAAGGCCTTAGAAAATTAGATTTACAAAGTTGCCATTCATCTAGCATTGGAGATAGTAACATAAAGCTAAGACAATTGGAGTTGGACTAGTTTTTGAACAATGAAATACAAAATACTACCAAAGTGGAAATGAAAGAATAGGCTCTGTCCATGAATGATGATTGTATCAGTTACAGCATGTCTTTGCTGTGCATGATCAGAGAAGGTTGTCATCCCTCAAATCATCCCTTATCACTTGAGTCAAAATATTTAGATGAAAAATTAACTTTTTACTGGATAATAAACATTTCTTAACACATATAATTTATTCCTAAATAGTTATGCTGGAACATGGGATTTGGGCATTTTTTTGTTTGTACCACAGCTCTTGCAGTGCTGTATGAGCATTTTAATTAGTCACTTCATGGTTTGGGGTAATCATATTGTGTTAATATATTTGAACTGTTGCTCAGAATTTACTAAGCTCATTTATAGGATAATGAAAAGGTAGGTGTAACCTACAAAGATGTAATGTGATGGAGAGGATTCTGATGGCACCTGAGGCAGTAGGACAGTCAACTGTGATATGCAAAGCTATCATTTATCTTTTTTCCTGCACCGTCTCTAGTGATGTTTCTGTCTCACATTCAGCCTTTCATAGGACTTAGTTACCTCTCTCTCCCTCACTCCCGTCCTATTCTTGGTACCTCTTCTGTTTTGATGTTCACTTTTTCTTCTCCTTTTGTTCTATGGCCTTTTATCTTGGGATCTTTACTTTTTCTCTTCTCCTCCCAGGACCTCTGTACTGGTCCTGGGTACAATTCCTGTCCTATAGATCCCCACATACAAACTATCTTAGAGTTTCTCTGGTTAAAGTGCCTATTTGTTGCAAGTTCCCATAGCAGCATTAACAGGAAGCAGTAGCTACTTTTAAACTTGAAGTGTCAACCTCCCAGGAGAAGAGTTCCAGTCTTTGTCCAATATTATTAGTGTTACTGTAACACTAGGCACCCTAGTCATGGACCTGGGCCCCGTTGTGCTAGGCACTGTAAAAACAAGGAATAGAAAGGTAGCTCCTGCCTCTGCCTAAATATAAGACAAGACAGCAGACCCAGGAGTACAAATAAACAATCAGATAGTATTGGTGAGCATGACAGGCAGTGGTCTCTGCACAGCAACAGCCTAACCATTGTCGTTTTCTGTAGATCTTTGCATTAGCACTGAGAGGGACCTTGCCCCCACCTTGTTCTTGAACTACCTGGGGCCAGTGTGGCTCCCGGTATAAACTCGAGCAGCCTACAGGGCTAACCTAATTTGCATCTTTGTTGCAGTGGCCACATGGATCATTCTAGGGATACAGAATCACTGGAACAGAAGCAGGGCCAGCCCTACCCCAAATGACGCCCCAGGCAAGGGGCATCTTCGGCACCTCCCTCCCGCCATTTGTTAAATTTTTGAATACCTCATTTTTTTTATTGCATTTGTATTCTATTTCACGACTTTGATGCATGATTTGCATGCATAATTTATCCCTGTCATATAAGATGATAAATTTGCATGCTAGAATCTGTAAATCTGTATTTATTCATGTCCTATATAATCAAATAAAAATATTCATTTCCTATAAACTTACAGAAACTTTTTAATTTTAAGAATAACTGAAATGGACTAACAGCAAGAAATTGAGCTGTGGACCAGTATTAAACAGTGTTACAGTCGGTGACAGCCTTAGAATGTTAACTCTAGTCCTTTAGTTCAAAAGGTTGCTTTTCTCGCCTTTGCTCCTGCAAACTGAGGCACAGCTTCAGAGAGATCCAAACACTGGCCAATGGTATTTTTCAAGTAATAAAATAGCAAGCAACTTCAGTCTCTCGTTGGCCACCACCGATTTGAAGATATGTTTTAATGAGCCTGAGCTTTGAAAAGCTGCGCTCAGCATTCACGACTGTGACTGGGCAGCATGAACAAAATCCTCAAAGCTATCCACACATTAGGAAAAGTGTCCTTCAGCTCTGCATCATGAATGAATTGGAGAACTTGGAGTAGCAAGTGCTTCATGTGTTGCAAAATGTGGGGGATGTTGTCCAATTTGACAGAGATGTTTATCGTTGACGTCTGAACATTCCACATGTGTCAGCATCTATGTGTCTGTGTTCTTCCATCTTAGAAAGTCACAATTATGTGTTCAGCACGGCAAAAGAAGTAACAGTATTTCTTTTATATTGTTGCATAGATAGGGGTTTGATAGCTATCTCTGGTGTCTCATTAAATATGTCCTTTATTAGTCGCTACTTACACTCTTCAAGTCTTAAAACACAAGTACACTTTCACAATTAGACAGTAAAACAAGGTTCACAATGATCTCACTGGGCTCTCAGTTCACTTCACTTCGTTCTTGTATCTGACTGACTGACACCGTGCCCCTTCTATACCCATAAGGGCATGGCTGACAACATTCTAGGAGGTTCAAGGAAAAGGTTCAAGGTAGTTGTCAAAAAGTCTGGAAGGTTCCATGAGATTCTACAAAGGTCCAGAACATTCTAGTAGGTTAGTGAAAAATGAATCCACAAACAGAATACCTGAAACATTTTATTTCCCTTTATTTTCCCTTTTGTTGCTAACATCAAAAACAGCAACCCAAGCCTAATGCCCCCAAGCCTGGCACCCCAGGCAGTCACCTGGGTCATCTGCTCTTAAATCTGGCCCTAGACATAAGAAAACTCTGGCTATTTCCCTCCTTCTCCTATCTCGCCCTCTGTGCTGGATCTCCTGGGGGAGGAGAGGACCTTTTGCACATGGAAACCTTCTCCCCTGACTGCATGTAACCCTTTCCACTGGTTTTGCTGGCACAAAGGAAGTACAGCTCAGCAACACTGTTCCCTCTAAGCTGTGCGCGTGTGTGCGCCCACACAGATCCTAAACCCCGCGCGCACGGCAAAACACTGCACGCACAAAAATTTGCACAGAAAAAATTTTTTGCGCACACAGCCTGTCAAAAATTAGAGGGAACATTGCTCAGCACTGAATTCCATCTCTCTCAACTGTGTTTTATGTGTGTGCCTTTAAAAAATGCAATACAGCCAGCACAAACTGTCAACAGATTGAATGAATTATCTTTTGACCTCTTTCTTAAGACGGGTATCTTCCTTCTTTCTTCCAGTTTCATGCATTTGCTTAGTATTTTTGAATCCTTTTTTCTTTATCCTTTCTTTTCCCTACTGAGTGAAGGTGGTTAGTGTCATGGTATGTGGGGAGAAAAGGTCTCTTCCTCCTGAAGTCTTCAAAAGCTGATGTCACTCTAATCTGTGGTAGGGTACTCTATCACTATGAATTAAAGCTTTGTCCCCTGTACTCATGAGCAATATTTCCATTGCTTCAGATTATCTTGGTTGTTGTCTTAGGATCTGGTCATGGGAGAGAGGTTATTCTTGAGATATTTTGGGCTCAGATAGTGGAAAACTTTGAAGAAGAAGAACAAGGGCCTTGAGTTTTATCCTGGATTCTCTGGGGAGCCAGTGCAATGGCCAGGGTAGAGATGGTGCCTGTTCTTTTACTTGGGCTTCTCTCAGAAGCTTGTAATAGCCAGTTGTACCTCAGCCATAATCACTCTCATGGGTGTAGTTCTGCAAAGCTTCATATTCTCTCTCACCTAGTTCATGAAACCACAGGGGGTGTTGGTGAGAAATTATGAACTCAAATGTGAGCAATTAATAATGTGAACAACAACAGTTTCTATTTCTATCACATCTATCTCTGGAAACATTTTATCCTAGCTATCTTGATGCCTAAATGAGATTGGAACCTGGATGAAGGACATCTCACTGAAGTTAAACCTAGGAAAGATGACCTTTGTAGAAAGAGGGGAATGTTTTGAAGAACTGTCCAACGGTGTGATATCACCTTCCATCTAGCTTTGGAAGATTCTTGTAACTTAGGGGGCGGTGCTAATCTCTGCTGCTTTGGGCCTGGTTATTTATTAAAATATGGTTTTATAACTTTTTTTTAAATAAATCACTGGCAACTTTAATTTTTGAGTTATTCCATTTTCCCTTTCTCGCCATCCTATCAGTTGGAGCCAAAGAGAACTTTCCTTATTGATATATTTTAGAGACATGTACAATGCCAGAGTTTGCATAAAAAGATGGTATTCCCCTCTTTCCTGTGTTAACACTACAGGCATCTCACGCAGAAGGCTGTTATCACAGCAATTTTGTCTCAGATCCATTACATGGATAAATCATTGTGAGGGAAGTAAATTTGGCTTCCTTCTTCTCAAAATTACTATATACAGTCTGCATTTTTAATGTTAAGAGGCTTAGGACAGCAAAGTGAAGAAGTAAAACAGCCATCTGGGGGAGCAGATGTTCATATGTTGCTGTTAAAGCTGCTTTGAAGGACTTACTTTGATGGAATCAATCAATTTACAGTTATTTTATATTAAAATTCTAACCATGGCAAACTTTTCTCCTTGAGATTTCTACTAAATTCAAGTTGCATGAAACTACTAAATTACTTAAAACTACTAAATTCAGATTGCATGAAATAAAGTAACAAAATTTTAATCCCTTCATGGCTGAGAGAACTTTGAACCCCTTGTATTGAGGGAGTATAGTTTTCCTTAGGATAATACCTTTCAGATCTCAAGAACTATACATTTCCTTTGGAACACTATGGAAACAGTACATTTTCTCATTAATACTGATTTTTTTAGTGTCTAGTCACTGAATTCTACCCAAAATTCTACACTATTCACGTAGCTGAAGTTGTATATCTTAGATCGACCCCACGTGGTAGTGTAGACAAGCCCATACATTGTGCTTGGTGGACCTCACATGATCATTTTGATCGTTCTTTCTTTTCCATTGATAAGCCTCTCCAAAGATTAGGTTACACCTACAGTTAAAATGCAGGTTGTTAACTGTAACTAAAATGCAAAAGAACTGGAAACAGCATTTTATAGTTGTTGAACACTTCATACATGCAGCAAGATGCCAGTGAGCCTAATTTATAATTCTTAGCCTTTACCTTGCATTTCATACCTTCAGAGCATTTTATAGAACTGAACTCATCCTCAGAACAGCATATGAAAAGGGGAAGTATTCTAAATCCTTTCGTTGCAGAGGAGGAAATAAATTTAAGTCCAAGAAGTGTCCAATGTCCTAACCACACCCTCATGCTATCTCCCTAGATGTGGTGGTAGCAGATGGTGGCATGTTAGCTGTATTAAGGCAGGGCATCAATTGGAGTGCTAGAGATAACTAAACACAATCCAAGGCATCTGTGGACTTTTATAAAAATTAAAAAAAAAAGTCAGGATATGAAATAAATAGTTTGGTTCTTCTGTATGCTCCTTTTAAGTCATAATTTAAATGTCTAAAACTCAATATTTTTGTTAGAAAAGGAGATGTGATTCTATTTCACAGAACTGGATATTCTACCAGCTACTCAAATGTTGCCCACAATCAAAAGTGTAATTCCTGGAAAATGATCTATCAGCAAGTACTTCTTTATGCAATACTCAGAATCTCTGTATCATCACAGAACTTGCATCTTGTTCAGTCTCCTCTCACCTGCCTTACAAGCCATACTGAGCTCTATGAAAAGCAAAAAAAGACTGTTGTGAGAAAAGGCAACTGGAACTAAAATGTTGTTGTAAGGCACATTAACCAAAGCATCCAACAAGCTGGAAAGGTGCTGAGCACTGCTGCTAACTTGAAGTGCCAACACAAAGCAACGTCAGTGTGGGCAGCCAGGCTTGCAATGTCTAAAAGCTTTATTTGTCCAAGCTCTTAAACTGAATGCATGCTACTGCAAGGCCTCAAATGTCTATGCCTTTCATTTATCATATGTGATATCAAGGCCATGGTTATCTATAGCTTCTGGAATGCCCAGAGAACATATATAAGATTCCCAATTTTGTTGGCTTAGATGAGAGGTTATCAGTTCTCCCTAATAACTTAGCTGCTGCACCACTCCTTCCAGATTCTTCTCCCACCCTCACTTTCATGCCTTCTTCCATGCTTCCTCCCTTCAGTCCCTATCCCTGTGCACCAGGTGTTCTACCTTCTGTTCACATAGATCACTCTTTAAAATTCACGTTTCCCCTCAAGGCCATCAGTGCTAACCCTGCTAACTAAAAATGTTGCCATCAACTAGTTCAGTTAAGGAACATCTGATGAAGTGAGCTGTAGCTCACGAAAGCTCATGCTCAAATAAATTGGTTAGTCTCTAAGGTGCAACAAGTACTCCTTTTCTTTTTGCGAATACAGACTAACACGGCTGTTCCTCTGAAACCTACAATGTAAAGCAGTGATCCTCAGAAGCATGTATGATTAGTTTCTTGTGTGACAGCTGTCACCTTGGCTCCAGAGGTCCCAGGGTCAATAAAATCTGGTATGTTCTTACTGAACAGTGTAACAGAGATTCCAACACTGGTGATCAGTTTCTGAATGTGATTCAGTGTCAGAGTTATTAGCAAATGCTAAGACAGAAATTTGGAATGTGTGTAATTATATATTATCTCTATTTTACAGGTGAGTAAACTGAGCCATGTAGCTTAAGGACTTGTGCCTTCTCCCATTAATGTCAATGGAAAAATTCCTGTTGACTTCGCCAGTGCAGGATGAGGTGCTTAGGACTTTCCCAGGCCTTAGCAAGTGTTGGTGTTAGAACCAGTTTTAGAATTCAGCAATTTCTGGCTCTGTGTCTTCTGCTCAGATCATAGGACCCTGACTCTGTCTCCATCAAAAGTCACCAAACTAGCTGCCTATTATCTTATGACTCTTTTTGTCTTTATATACATGTTCAGAGAACAGTGTGAGGAGGTTCGTTTGCAATGGAGTCGGAGACATCAGAAGGAGGTGTGTTCAGACCGACTGGCCCAACTGGCCCTTAAGGAAGAATTGAAGAAGCAAGAGAAGAGAGAGGAACAGATATTTGCAGAGCTTTGGGAAGAGGACCGATTGGCCAAGGAAAAACGAGGGATAGAGGACTTCCAGAAAAAATCCGAACAGAATGAAGAATTGCTGAATGTGCTTAATGCTCAGGTAGCTGCACTGGATGCTCAAAGAGAGGAGGCAAAGCGACTGAAAGAAGAAGAGGCACAATTACTGGTAATTTGATATAGTTTTCAATGCAGGGTCATAATTAAAGGTTTACCTTCCACAGATATTTAAATTAGTGTGCACCTTACTTGAATCTTCTGCTGATTTTCACAGCAGGCTACAAAGCTATGTTAATAAAATGTTCCTGAAGGAACAGGTTGAAGGATAAATGTTTTTAGTCTGACTGGGCTGGGAGTGGTTGAAAATTGACCCTGGAGTGAATAGAATCTGCTTATGTGTGGGTTTCAATGACTGAAATGTTCAGAACCTAGCATTGGGGAAGGGGCTGTTTTCTAGTATATGGCTGTAATTTTCAAAGAGAAAATGGAAATTGGGCATCCAGCTTCCTCAGGTTGCTCTGAAAATAGCCTATATTTCTACAGCATCTAGCACAGTGAACCTGGGTGTGGCCTAAAGCACTGCTGTAATACAAATAATACTGAGCACTCGATGATAATAATAGATGCAGATTATAAATCATGTCTTCCATTTAAAGTAATGGGAATTAAGCATCCAAATCCCTTTGGTCTCTTCGAAAATCTCTGCCATGTAGCAGTAAACAGTCCATGTACCATTTCAGTCATTTCAAAACACACACAGGAAAATTTCTGTTTGCTCCAGGGCAACTTTCAGGGCACACCCAGCCAGACTAAAATCACTTGTCTTTCAACGTGCTTCTTTAGGGAAAAAAATATTAAAACAGATAGGCTTTGCAGCCTGCTCTAAAAGTCATTTCCATGAAAGAAGATGTGGAAGTTGGCAACGTTATTTTTTTAATACTGTGTCTGCAGCTACTCCTACTGAGAGGGTTCATTTGGGTTTAGCACAGGCAATGAACAGCAAAGTACGGTAGGTCTTTGTATCCTTGTTTTATCAACATTTTTATGTGATTGCCTACACAAATTATTTGAAAGCTGTTTTCTCTCTGCAATAATATCATAGTATTTCATTGCTTTAAAGACAATTTTGCGCCTCATATTAAAGTCCTCTAATGTTCAAAAATGCATTGGCAGAATTGATGAATAGGCACAGTATAGCCAATTTCTACTAGCCATTGCAATGGAAATTGATTATTTAGGGAGAAAAATCATGCTATCTTTGCGGTCTTGGACCTTGTCCATCTTACTGCACCAACCTGTGCTAGCTGTAGCTCTTAGAAAATGGTTGCTAAGTGCTGTTCTCTTTAACATGATTTACATGCATGGTGTAGAGTTGTGTTTTGCAGAAACCAGCTTCAGCCCTTCTGGAATGTCTACATTCAACCCTGCTAAAACTATGTCCATATCCTCCAGAGGATAAACAGTCTGGGAGTTTTGTGCTGCCATCACATGATGATGCCACACTGTCGTACAGTGGATGCAGTGCACTGCAGACATTATCCAGCACGGATGCAGATCAGTCCTTTGTCACAGCTGCTACTGCTCAGTGTTTTGCCATTCATAGGCATCAGACTGCTTATAGTTGGAGAAGTCAGTTGATAGCAGGGAGGTTAAATACCCTGGGTAGTAGCTGCTCCAGCATTGTTACTATTGTACAGCTCTGTTCTATCTCATGGGCCTGTTTTGGCAGTAGAGTGTGGTGTATGCTGTGTATCAAATACTAGACTCTCAATCTACCCTTTGGAGCCCTGAGAGAGTGTAGCTGGCAAACTAATCTGTCTGCATCCTGCATCTGTTTTGAGGAGGGTACCCCTAAACGAAGAGTGTTGTACATTAGCACACTTGGTGTTGGCAGATGGGATATCAGTCAGTGGGATGATTGATATGGCTTTGGCTGATGTTGCAGAAGGGTAACAAACATTTATGTTTTGGACTCTGGCTACTGTGATGAGTTTGGGATAAATGCCTAAACAGATAATTTGCTTGCTGGTGTTAAGGAAGCTTGGACTAAATGAGGTGAATAATTCTGGCATTAGCATCTCCATCATATGTTGGCAAATTTTACAGTTGTTACTAGAGATGTATTTCCTAATTCACTCCTCATCCTGTCCCACCCTTGATCTTTATTCCATTGTTGTCATTTATTTTCAGATGATTTCTCTGACATCCTGTACAGTAACTCCTCACTTAAAGTCATCCCGGTTAACGTTGTTTCATTGTTACGTTGCTGATCAATTAGGGAACATACTTGTTTACAGTTGCGCAATGCTCCCTTAATCAAACATTGTTTGGCAGCTGCCTGCTTTGTCCACTGCTTGCAGAATGGGCAGCCCCTTGGAGCTAGCTGGTGGGGGGCTTGGAACCAGGGTGGACTGGCAGCCCCACTATCAGCTCCCCGCAAAATTGTTTTTCTTAACCTCTGAGGATAGGACAAAAAGCAACGGGCTTAAATTGCAGCAAGGGAGGTATAGGTTGGACGTTAGGAAAAACTTCCTGTCAGGTGGTTAAGCACTGGAATAAATTGCCTAGGGAGGTTGTGACATCTCAATCATTGGAGATTTTTAAGAGCAGGTTAGACAAACACCTGTCAGGGATGGTCTAGATAATACTTAGTCCTGCCATGAGTGCAGGGGACTGGACTAGATGACCTCTCGAGGTCCCTTCCAGTTCTATGATTCTATAATTCTACATGGGGAAAATTGGGAGGACCAGTTGTAACAGTTCTGTGGACACACTTTGGAGTCTTTATTCACATTAGGAAATTACTTTTTTTTTTTTTTTTTACTTAAAACCATGCTATAGCTTACCACCAAAATAGTTTTAGCATTGATTTGAACAGAACTATAGCGTGGTTCCAAAGCATGTTAATTGCGGATGCAAATTGTGTTATGCTGTTTTTGGATGCAGCTAGGTTTGTAAACTCTTTCATATGTGGTAAGTACAGGAATTGTCACTAAGAGTATGACTTTCTTTCTTTGGTTTCTCAGAAATGGGTTAGGTTAAATAATCCTGAACATACATTTGTAGGGTTTCAATCCTACACATTTAATTATTTCTTTCCTTAAATCCCAGAACTTTACTGTCTACACTTTGACTCTCTCAAATATAAAATAGATTATCTCAAGTGGTTTAGCCATGGATAGAGAATGTACATGAAAAACTGGCATTTACACATGCAAAATTGGTAACTATGTGTGCAAATGGGTATGTAGATATGCCATGACACATGCTGTGCAATTCCACTGGGGTTACTCCTGTCTCCAGTGGAGCTATTCTGAATTTATAGTGGTGTAACAGGAAGCAGAGGTTGGCTCCATTATTAGACATGGGTATGGTTAATATTTATTGTACACAGATTCTTTTGTGTGAAAATTTGAAAGTGTTCATATACAAATAATGAACTGCTGCTACTCTTGATTTGCAACAATATATGAATCATTGTGCATCGTAACTGTTTAGAGGGAGCGCCAGTCTCTCCAGTAACTTGGCAATGAAACATACATGATAATTAGAAAATCCTGAATTCTAATGAATATGCTAAAATGTTCACGCTTTAACAACTGTATTAGATGACAATAGTAAATTTTGAAATCCCCTAGCGTCAGTGAGCAAAATCTTCAATATTTATCTTCCCACTTATATGTTCCAATTAAACTAATCCCAGCCATCTTTTTGTTGTTGTTGTTGTTTGTTGTTGAAGTTATACAGTGATCTTGCAAGTTGGCTACTCTTCTTTTATTGTTGCAGGAAGAGGAAAGGAAGCTGTTTAAACTAGAAAATGAGCGAATTCAGATGGAGAAATTACAGAAACAGAAGGAACAAAGGGACGTGTTGATTAACTCAGCTCGGGCAAAGATGAAGCGTCTTAATCGGGAAAAACAAGAGGAACTTGCTCTAGACATGAAGATCCTAGAACGACTTTTCCATGAATCCCAGGAAGACACAGAGGGAATAAAGCAAAGAAAAGTAAGGGAAAAGGGTATTTGATCTTTTTCAAATTGTGCGACAATGTCTGATCTCCTGATCTGGACTATTTCCATTGACCACAGTGGAGTTACATAGGTGTGAGATCGGAATCAAGCCCAATTCTGTTTATAAGTTGATTTTTTTTTGTTGGAAATCTTTTTATATTTTATTAAGGTCTTTGACTGCGTATTTCATCTTTTCTTGCCTGTACTCTACTTTTCTAAAGGAGCCTGTTGTCTTCTTAAAGGAAGAGGGAAACATTTTAAGATGAATACCATTAGCTAGGTTTGTACTTGACCAGATTAGAGGTCTGGGCCAAAGGACCAGAATCCCAGACGATCATGGAATCTAATCTGGTCTGATCCACATGCTGCTTCTACTGTGTTCAAGTCAGTGGCTCTTTTGGGGTTTTACACAACCTGGCTGGGAATAGAGGTTAGAAAGCCTAATGCTAAGCTTTCTGCAATTTCATGGATGTTGTTGACTGGATGTTTGTAACTGCAGAGAAAAATAAATCTTATTTTAGCTGAAATGAAATGTATTACAATACTAACAAAATTGTTTAAAATCTTTAATTATTAGCTAGACATATATGTAGTTTAAGTTTACAATTGAAATGTTTTAAATGGCACAAGCTGACTTGAATTCAGACGTCTCTGTCTCTCTACAAGTTCACTAGCACTTAAGGTTCAGTCTTGCATTGTGCTTTTGGGCTTTTACTTTTTTATGATTTATAAAGATAGCCTGAAGGAAAAAAGGGAAGGGAATCCTGCTTGCTTTTTACTTTAGAAATTCAAGTCTTGTTCTTAATCAGGCTGTTCGCAACTATTTTTTTAACAACTATTTATCTCCAGTTTCCTTTCCTGGTATTAAAAGGATGTTTCTGTTAAAGTTCAACACCTGTCTCCTTCAGTTAAGGTGCTAAAGCTTGTAATAAACATCTGTTTCCTGAAAACATCTGAGTTCAAGAAACCTGCTATTTCTTAAAGTAAAAACAAGTCAATTCACCACCGCCTGGAAACAAAAAAATCTTTTGCAGGTTATCTTTAAAGCCAAGCAAGGAACTGTACTCTTTACTCTGCTTTAGGTGTTTATAAGCTAGTGCATGTTAGGGAAATGTTGCAAATATTTCCTACATTCATAGCATTCGTTCAGTTCCACTGGGGTTAGGCAACAGTCGAACCCTGGTATAGAAAAGGTACAGGTCTGCCACTGGCATTTAAAGCACCATGTCAGTTAGACCAGTTCAAAGCAAAGTTAGATGATTTGGTGCTTAAAACACTGGTGGTACCCAGCATGGCTAGCAGTGGTGGAGCTGAACTGGTGTTATTAACAGTGGGATGTTTTTGCAAAGCTTCTGGCTCAGACAAGACTGGTGAAGTTATTGGCTGTTATAGGAAAAAGTCAGAGTCCTAAACTCAGATTCTGGCACGTAATTGAAAGAAAAAATAATTTTGAACGATGCAGTTAGAAAATGTATGTATTTGTGTGAATGAGTCTGCGTATTCTGTTAATGATTTACCATAAGGTTGTAAGGAGTTTTTTTCATATTTAAAAGCACTACAGTTTACTTTGAAAACAGGGCTAGAGTGTCTTTAGAAGATAGGTTCATAGAATCATAGAGTATCAGGGTTGGAAGGGACCTCAGGAGGTCAGCTAGTCCAACCCCCTGCTCAAAGCAGGACCAATCCCCAACTAAATCATCCCAGCCAGGGCTTTGTCAAGCCTGACCTTAAAAACCTTTAAGGAAGGGGAGATTTCACCACCCTCCTAGTGAAAAAGTTTTTCCTAATATCAAACCTAAACCTCCCCCAGTGCAACTTGAGACCATTACTCCTTGTTCTGTCATCTCGTACCACTGAGAACTGTCTAGATCCATCCTCTTTGGAACCACCTTTCAGGTACTCCCACAGTATTCTTGCCAGCAACTTAAAGAAGGTTGTTGTACTAAAAGTCACTGGTCTGGGTTCTATTCCTGGCTTTGCCACAAAGCTGCTGTGTGACTTGGGGCAAGTTACTTCATTTCTTAATGCCACAGTTTCCCCAGCTGCAAAATGAGGATCATGATTACAAAAAAATGTAAAGAGCTTTTAGATCTACAGAAGAAAGTGCTATAGATGAACTAAGTTGGATCATGCCGGCTCAAATTATTCTTCTTTGTTCAAATTTACTGTCTAGATTTGTTAATTCAAAATATTACATTATGCTTTAAGAAACCTTTTTCTTGATTTCATCAAAAATGTTAATTTTAGCCTAATGATGCTTCCGATGCTAAAGAAAGGTTTTCAGTCTTGATGAGGTGCAATAATGCTGGAAATATTTCATAATCTGAACTGAGTTTTGTTTCAAATTCAGGTTTAATTTATTTTTACAGTAATTGGCCAAGTTTGTGAGTTCCTGCATTCAACTTGATGGCATTTCTCTGTCTGTTTGTTTGTAATGCAATAACTTTTGAACACTGAATCCAGCCAATTCCAAAATTTCAGGGAGTGTTGTAGGTGTAAAGGGGCAGAATCCTATTAATTTTGGCACGAATGGGAAAACTGGCAGGGCGGAATAGGGATTGTGACAGGGTGTACGAACTGTGGATCACACAGGAAGGAGTTAAGGAGTTGCTCTCAGCTGGAGTGGCCTGCCCTGCCACACCTACAAGTCATGTCAGGAATGGAGGAGGGGTTTGACACTGGGGAAGTTCACTACCTCCTGGGCAGCTCTGGGATGACAGCAGAGTGCTGAGCTTCCCACCTCCCAGGGAGAGGCCTGGAAGAGAGCAGAGCCTACACTCTTGCCTAAAAGAAGGCCTAAGTTCCCTGAGGTGAAGGGCCCTGTATCCTGTTCCTTGTGCTAGGGAACCAGTGGACTTTGAGCCATACCCTTCAGAGTGCTACTGAGCACCCCACTTGAGTGACTGGACACAGAGTGAGCACACAATTCCGTCACCTCCCGAAGAGGCGCTGTTGAAAGACCAAAACCTTGCCAGAGACACACACAGCCCATTGCCTCTGATCAGCAGACCCATCAGCTTCAGAGGGGGAATACACAGCCACTGCCAATGTGGGGGGGGGGGGCAATGATCTGGGGGGAAAGGGAAACCTGGGAGGGACACAGGGCCCCTGCCACCAGGCAAAGGGGCAGCAAACAGAGCCCTTAGCATGCGGGAGGAATGAGGGACATTGGTATGGGGGGAGGAAGGAGTGTGGAGCACACAGAACCCCTGGCATGATGGAGGGGTGGGGGATTGCAGGGGTCCCTGAAGTAGAGGGAGGGTAGCACAAGGAGTTTATGCAGGCTGTGGAGGGATGCTAGGAGCCCCTGTTGTGTACAATGAGCTTGTCCTACAGATGCTATGAAGTGCACCACGATCTGATAATAATACTTTTCAGTCATAGGGCGTGAGTCGCTTCTCACATCAGTGTAAATCCAATATAACTCTTTTTGAACTCAATGGAATGACCAGTGTAAAACTGGAGCACAAAGTGATTATGTGACAGCGAGATGTGGCAGAGTTTGGAAAAGAAGCCAAGGGCATGTCTATGCTGCATCTGGACATGTCTGTGCTACATCTGAGCATGTTTGTGCAAGCCTCCCAGCCCTGGTCAACTGACTTGTACTAGTGGAGCTCATGCTAGTGCGCTAAAAACAGCTGTATAGATGGTGCAGCTTTGGCTGGGAGCTTGGGGTCTGAAGTATGTGGGGTGGCTTGAGAGGCCAAGCTCCAGCCTGAGCTACAATGTCTACACAAAAAGAAAAGGAGTACTTGTGGCACCTTAGAGACTAACCAATTTATTTGAGCATGAGCTTTCGTGAGCTGATCAAGTGATCAACATCACAGATCAAGTGATGAAGTGAGCTGTAGCTCACGAAAGCTTATGCTCAAATAAATTGGTTAGTCTCTAAGGTGCCACAAGTACTCCTTTTCTTTTTGCGAATACAGACTAACACGGCTGTTCCTCTGAAATGTCTACACAGCTGGTGTTAGGGCACTTGCGGAAGTCTGTGGACCCAGGCTGGGAGTCTTGCTCTCGGATGCAGCATAGACATGCTCCCAGTCTTTTTCCCAGTCCGCCACCAGACACTGCTTTCCATGAATAAAATGACTTTTGAAATGCCTTTTTGAACTAGTTTATTGAAAGTCTATATCCCGTCCACATTTCGTAGCAAGAGCTGTTGAAGGAGCAGCAAATGTATCGGGAATATCTGGCTCAACAATTGGAAGAGGAGAAGCGTCGAGAGAAAGAAATGGACAAGCTGCTGGAGGAAGAGATGGAGAAGTCTTGGGCTAAGAAGGCTGAGCAAATGAGATTGGAAAAGGAAGCTAGGAAACGGCTAATGAAAGATGTCCTGGATACGAGACGACTGCAGATTGAAGAGAAGTGTAAGAAATTTCAGCATAATTAGTCTGTAGTCAAGTATTGCCAATGGTAAAGTGAATGCAAGTCCTGTCAGAGTCAATTGTGGTGTCACATGCTTTCCCTGAAAGCAGAATTTGGCCCCAAGTGCATGTGGGGGACAAATGGGGGACCCTGGTATGCAGCATTGAGGGGGGCACACAAAGGAATCGGGGACACACAATGCATAGACATTATTACAACAGATAAAACAGTGCTATTGCATTAGGGCCCAATGCTACAGCCTTACTCATACAAACAGTCTTTACTTATGCGAGTTATCCCGTTGACATGAGTGGAACAAAGACTAATCAAATAAAGATTATAGGAGTAAGCCCTTATTTCAGAACATTCTGAAATTGTATACGTGAAATCCTCTCTTCTAAGTGACTGATGTGGGTGGAAAAATACCGACAACATCTCTTCTGTTGCTTTTGTGCCTTTCCAGAAGCAGCAAGGCTCAAGCCTGCCATTAAGAATAAGCTATTTGGATTTAAGTTTACATCCTTCCAAGGTTAGCAATGCATTTATTTTTCCTTTTGCAGTGGAGAGAAATGCAAAGCACCAGGAAGAACTTGCTCAGGACAAGGAACTATTAGTTGAAGCCATTAAAGAACTCAATTCTATAGAAGAAGAAAAATATTTAAGGTATTTTTCCTTATGCTGTAAGTACATTTTGTAATAAAGTTGGGTCTTAAACTCTTCAGAATTGAATAATTCTCATGTTGAAGTAGTAGTGTAATAGCAATGGGCTTTATTCTGTGCAAATTTTCTCTGCAGGTGCTATGCTGTGTAGCCAATTTGCTATTGACTATTCAGTAGTACCTATGTTATACTGAAATTGGTATTATGCAACCACCCAAACCTGATTGTTCATACACAGTTGTATTCCACCAAGTGTAATTGTCTTGAGCTTACTGGTTGTTTTTAGTAAGTACATACCCATACACTGTGATTTAAGACGTGTATTCCTTAAATTCTATTAATAAAAGTTATTAAGGTTTGTAACATTAGCTGAGTTTTTAGAGAGATTAATTTAGCTATTTAAGCATAAGAGTTGGAATGTTCTGGCTTATTGCAAATCTCTGTCCACCCTTGAAGAATATCGGCTGACTGTGCATTCAGGCATTGAAACACAAGACCACACCATCAGAACAAATTCTCACTAGCTTATCATTGCCTGAGGAAAGAATACTAGTACTTAGCACTATCTGAAATACGCCAGTTCTAGATGTCATGTACACAGGCCTTCCTTTACAGTTTTTACTATCCATAATGTTTTATCCACATGATTCCATTTCCATACTATTGCCCACTCTGATGCTTTTTTGGAGAAAGTAATTGAGTAGCCCCTTCCAGAGCCAATATCTCTTTCATTTCATGGTGTTTTGGCAACAACTTTACGGTTAACAGAAAAGTTCTCAGACCATCTCTTGGCTTTGGTGGCAGTCGCACACTGTGGAGGAAGAGGTGCTGGCCATATCAGTTAAAATAGATGTGCTGCGTTTTGTTGTCAGTGTCAGAAAGCAAAGTCTTGCCACATGGCTCTCACAGCATCTCATTAAAGCACTGGTTTTGAGGAAACTCTTGACACTTAAGTACCATGGTGATGGGTGCTTTAGAAATACTTGAGGTAGGTAGGTGGGCTGTTCAAACAGCACTCCCGAGGATAGCAAAGGTAAAGTGCAGGTCTTGGCGTAGAACACAATTTCTTCTCGCAAACCATTTCTCAGAGTAATGTTAGCATAAGACCATGGCAGGAATCTCTGGCCTGCCTTCTTAGATGAAAGTACAATAATGGAGTTATCTTAAAAACAAGAGAGGGAAAATTGGATATTAGGGTGCTACAGGCGTGAACCATAGCCAGATAAAAACCTAGACCTAACATTTAAGTATATTCCACATAATCCTCTGTCATCTCCTCACCGCAGTAACAGACAGATAAAGAGTTACACAGATTTTTGTGGGGGGAAAGCATAAAACTTGTTATTTGATTAATGATTGTTTGTTCATTGATCATTGTTAAGCACTGACATTGTATTCTGTGATTTATAAGCCACAGTAAAGACAGTTTGTGCCCCCAAAGAGTTTACAGTTTATTAAAATGTAGTGGTTGTTCATTAGAATAGTAGTTAATGATAACAAGTAGGAGTTTTAAGCAGTATTTCACATAAGATTGATCAATGATACCTCAAGAAATCTGAGCTGTTCATTTTCTATCTTTATCTTCTAAGAGTATGTCTACACTGCCCACGTTACTGGCACTTTTCAGTGCTCAAATTTTTGTCACTGAGGCGGGTGTTTTTTCACACCCCTGAATGACTAAAGTTTTAGTGCTGAAAGTGGCAGTGTAGACATAGCCTAAATGAGACATTCGCCATGTCATTTGCAGACGAATGCAGGAGGCAAAGGAATATCGGGAGCAGCTGCAGGCTCAGATTACCTATCAGCAGCAGGCCCATATTGCTGAGGAAGAAGAGAAGCAGCGAGAATATGAATCAGGACTGGTAGCAGAGAGAGTTTACCAAGAAAAGATGAAAGACATTCTATCAAGACCCTACATGAAACTATCAGAAATCCATCCCTTGAGAAGAAAATTGTCTAATCTGCAAGTATAGCATTTACTTATTGTGATGTATACAACTTCAGCTCCCTTTAGACTGTATTTAAAACAGTATATATGAATTTTTACTTTTCATACTAATTAATATATCTGGTTCCACTTTCCCTGTTTTTGTATGCAAATCATTTTAAGGAGCATATATACGAATTAGACACCTTTTCAAAGGGTTAATTTTTCCCCTTTGGATTTTCTTTGAGACAATAACTTTTCCTCCGTTTTAGATTCAGAAATTTTTACATTTTAAATAAAACATTGTGTATGAATAGCATCTATGACATGAACTGCATGTAAGCATTCCTCAAAATCCACAGAAAGACACATTTGCAGAAGAATTTCAGGAAACTTTAATTGGGCCATATAAATAGTTTAGCCTTTAAAGGGTCATTTTAATTATATATTTAAACAAAAACACTAGATGTACATTTTTAGTATCTTTGAAAAATATGTAGTGTGTGTCCACTTTATTTCTAAGACTCGTTCAAAGGGCTAGTAAATATAAATCTTTATAGACCCTGGTGGCTAACAAGGATCTATGGAACTTCAGGATCTCCAAAACTGATCTGTGAAATCGTTGCTGGGATAGATTTACTGCATAATAGGACTAAAATCACCCTTTCTTCCAAAAAGGGTATTCTCCACCTGTATAGGGTTCACTCCTGCATTTCTTGCGTACCCTCGATGTTCACAAATACTTTATTTTGCTTCCACAAGATACAGAGGATCAGGCTGTGTCGCAGGGTGGTTGACCCCTTTAAGGGGAGTCAGGGCCCAGCCTACCTGTGACAGGCTCCTGTAAGGGAAAATGAGCCAATCCAGACACATGTGGCTGGCTGGCTGGCAGACAGGCAGCTAATGAGGCTGATAAAGGGGTACCAGTACTGGGATGGGAGTTTCTAGAAACAGGGAGCTTTTGAGGAGAGGTGCTCCTAAGAAAGCTGATAGGGAGAGCCCATAACAGCAGGGAAGCTAGGAGATGTGCTCCTGGAGACAGGGAACTCCCAGGACAGCTGATCAGGAAGGCTTATGTAAGCAACGACCCTAGATGTGCTTCTAGAGAGGAGAGATTTCTGAGGGCAAAGTTATAGCTGGCAGCCCTCCAAGAAAGCCTAGTCCCAGAAAAGGATCTCCCAAAAAGTGGTGGGACGCATAGCCCATCAGGAACTACATGCTGTCCCAGAGAAGGGATTCTATTGACGGATCTCTGCCAACTCTTGCTCCAGGGAAGGATTCTACCGAGGTAGTAGGAAGAGGCCTGACTCCAGAGAAGAGTGCAGAGTCAAGAAAACTCTGCTGATAAAGAACCCAGATAGAGGGGAGAGGTGGACTCAGGTGGGAACAGATAAACTGACTGACTCCCAGCTAAGACACTAGGTGAAGGTGTGCTTGTAGTCTCGCTGGGGCACTGATTAATAAACTAGACCCCTCAGAAAGAGTTCTGTTCCCTATGTAAAGCCTCATTGAACTTATTGATGGCATATTAGGGGAAATGGAGGCAGGGAGCGCCTGCAGCACCACACCTAGCTACAGGCAGCACAGGGGCCAGTGGCACGCTCCCTAACATACTACGAACAGGATGGTCAGATTCTTTAAGCAAAAAAACTGGAAAAATGTCAATACATGGTTATATCCATGTGCAGAAGGGTTTTGGCAGTGGGTTGATGGGAAGCTTCTCTTCTCCCCTATCTCTTGCTTCCCATCCACAAGTCCTCCCCAATTAGCACCTGCTTCCCCTTCAGAGTGGGGTGGCCGGAGAGTAGCAGCTGCTGAGGGAGGGCCCAGCTCTGCAGGAAGCAACGGAGAAGTAAGGGTGGCAATACCATCCTTACTTCTGCCCTGCTGCTGGCAGCAGCTCTGCCTTCAGAGCTGGGATCTCAGCCAGCAGCTGCTGCTCTCTGGCTGCCCAGCTCTGAAGGCAGTGCCCCCGCCAGCAGCAGCGCAGAAGAGCAGTACTGCAACCCCCCCTACAATAACCATGTGACCACCCCACAATTCCTGTTTGGGTCAGGACCCCTAACATTACTGCAGCATGAAATTTCTAATTTAAATAGCTGAAATCATGAAATTTATGATTTTTCAAAATCTTATGACTGTGAAATTGGCCAAAATGGACCATGAATTTGGTAGGGCTGTAGGCATGGGATACGTGTCCTTTCCTAGGGGAAATCCTGCTCCATCATCTATATATTTTTGCTAATGCCTTGTCATCTGCTCCTCTGTTTGGGACTAAAACAAATAGGATTTTCTCTTGTGTTTATCTTCATGATTGATTATGCTTTAATAATGAACTGAGATACACACAATGCTTTGTTTTTCTGTTGTATTTAGCTTAAAGGAAGGGACATACCAAGGTACGATCTAGACTAATGAGCAGCTGTGCTACCCTTGTGCTACAATCTTGGGTGCCTTACAATGCCTTGCTGAAGGAGTTCCCACGTGGGCCGCTCACAAACAGCCTTCCAGCATGCAAACCACACCCTGAGTGTTTGTGTGTAACTGCAACCTGCCAGCCTGGTTACACTCTGGCTCTCACCAGCCTTGCTAATACTGCAGGGTGACCCCAACACACTCCCAATCTTAGATTTTTCCCCCCAGAAATGTATGTCCCAGCCCTCTCCTGGACCATACACGTTTATATAAAAGTCTGTTGTTTTTATAATAGAAATAACATGCACACATCTTGCCACCCCAAATGGAGTTTCCCAAGCACTTCAATTTAAACACACTGGATTAGATAAAACAAGTTTATTAACTACATAGAGATTTTAAGTGAGCACACGTACTAAGGCATAAAAGTCAGAAATGGTTACAAGAAAACTAAAGATAAAATGCAACCACTGTCTAACTTAAACTGTGTTAAACTCAAAGCAAGGTTTTCTCACCACATGCTCTCAGCAATCGTACTGACTGAACTTCTTAGAGTGGGACCCCTTCCCTAGTCCAACAGCTACTTATTTTATCCCTTCAGGTGCAGTGAATCAATGGACAGGGGGATGGGGTGGGAGGGCCTTGAGGTGTTTGTCCCTCCATTTTATAATTTCAGTCCCCATTTTGAAAAACATTTCCAGCTGGGTACCAGGAGACAAAAAGTCTCTAGGGAAGGATGTTCCCTGCTGCTTTTTCTTCACCTGTTTGAGCTTCCTTTGGTTCCCTTCCTGCTTGATGCAAATTAAGCAAAGCACACATTCCTTGGTTTGAGACTGTTTGGAACATATGGTAGCACTGCCATACAGTGGAATCTTATAATTTTACATACAATGTTGCCACACATATTTTATCAGGATGGTACCAATCAGCAAATTATGAGTTTTCAAATGAAACAAGGCATACTTTTTACAATGATTATTACAGTAGCGTGTAGGATGTGAATACAGGGGTATGTTCTATCACAGCTCCCATATACAAGGCAGCTCTCCAGTTCGTGAATGGATAAAACAGGAGGCCAAACCTGTTAGATACTTTATCCTAAACAGAGAAGCACATTTCCTCAAGTCATAAAACAGGATACTGGACAATCCATCCTCCAACTCTCAAATGGTCTGGAGAAGTCCAGGAAGGGAGGGAGTAATCAGCCAACAGAAAAGCCTCAAGTTATTCAGTTTCCTGTTGTAGGCCAATATGAACCCATTCAAATACAGACCCAATGAGCTCTTTGAGTCACTCATAGCTGATGATGGATGAAATCAATGTGAAGAGCAAAACTTGGGCAGGAAAGATTCACTTTATACGCTTTGCCCACACACACCCTTCTCAGCCCCCCAAAAGGCTGAAAACAGAGAATGAAGACCTATTTGGCCAGAAGGGGGTGAATGAAAAGTTGGGCTCCTAACCAGTGGTGAGATTGCGGGACGGGTAAGAAAGTAGCAGCGCTCTGCTCTAGATCCATCCACAGTCCACGAGTTTCTGGATGTTTCTACTAAAATATGTGGCACAGTGAACTAGTTAAGTATTACAATCTTCACAGCTAAAACCCCATTGAGATGACTGGTACAGGTAGCACCTGGTTTGGAATGAAGTGCTGCCTTCCTCCCTTCACACACAGCCTGAGGACAAGGGCTGAGAGAGAAGTCTACCACGACAATATGGTTGCCAATCCTCCAGGATTGACCTGCAGTCTCAAGGAATGAAAGATTAATCTTTAATTATAAAGATTATGTCATGTGATGAAATCTCCAGGAATACGTCCAACCAAAAGTGGCAACCAAGAAGGACGGTTTGGAATAGCTTTGTAGCCATGACTGCTACCATTGTTAATGAGCTGTAGGAGCAGTTGGGTCTCTTGTGCATTCCCTACTGGTGAAGGTAAGGCCTGTGGAGCTATATGGTGGCCACTTAAGTCCTTTGTCCATACAAAGTTACCGTTTGCAGTCTACCCTTCCACTCCTCCATGTAGAGAAGTCATAGCAGTTCTGCTGTGTCCAGAGACTTCCATTCATGTGGGGAGCGATGTTGTTTCTGCAGTATTGGGTTACATTTAGAATTTTTTTAACCAAAAGGGCTGGAAATTTTCTCTATCTTGTTTTTAATATAAGTGCTTAGCTTGTGCAGAAACCCCTGGACCACTAGAGAAGAGCTGATAGAATGTATCACCACACACTGGGGCACGGGTCACTTGCTGGAGGATTCTCTGCTCCTTGAAGTCTTTAAAACACGATTTGAGGACTTCAATAGCTCAGACATAGGTGAGGTTTTTCGCAGGAGTGGGTGGGTGAGATTCTGTGGCCTGCGTTGTGCAGGAGGTCAGACTAGATGATCATAATGGTCCCTTCTGACCTTAGTATCTATGAATCTATTCTCATCATGGATAGCAGACTTCTAAGGATATGTCTACACTGCAGCTGGGGACATGTCTCGCAGCCCAGGTTGATAGACACATGCTAGCTCTGCTCAAGCTAGCATGCTCAGGGCTGAATTAACTTTTTGTGGGCCCTGGCACCCAGACTGTGGCCCTGCCCCTGCACTCTGCCCCTGAGGTCCTGCTCACTCCTCTCTGCCCCTGAGGCCCCACCTGCCACTCACATAGAGGGTAGGGGGCAGAGGAGTGAGATGTGATCAGGGCCTCAAGGGCAGAGTACGGTGGGGTGGGGAACCTTCTGAGTGTGGGCCCAGTGCCATGGGCACCATTGTAAACCTGGTACTGAACATGCTAATCAATGTGAATGTTACAGTATCTTGGGCTAGCCACCCCAGTCCAGACCCAAAAGATTGGGTGGGGTTGTTCTTGGGTGGCTGATGGCTGTAGCTAGGCTGACCCCTGGTAGATGCAACTAT